CCCTACCCTACCCGCACCCTTGGGTGGGGGAAGGAAGCCTTCCCCACCCCAGACACTACCTTCCCAAACTATGGGGGTTTCTAGGACAAAAAGAGCAGGGGGTAACCTGTCCCTAGGTGGGGCGAGAAGAGTAAATTGGGGAGAGGGAGATATGTTTGGGGTCTAGGGCCAGGAGGGTCATGACAGAGTCATTGGTGTAATGGAGCAGGCTCTTCTTGCCAAAAGAACCAAGGGACCCCCACACCCTCTTGGGTAGCCTGGAGGAAGGGGCCTCACCTGATCGCAAGCTGGGGTTGATGGAAGGCAAGTGCTTAAAAAATTGATTTCTCACATGCAAAAGCCAAGCTCCCCAATTTTCAGTGGGGAGGGTGATGTGCTCCCAGGCCAGAGCACAGTAGATGACCCCTACCTGAACTCTTGACAGATGGAGGTGGATTGGAGCAGAGGGTTAGGGTCAAGGTCACCCAAAGTCTCTACTTCCCACCCCCTGACTCTGCACCTTTGGGAGCCCCTTTTCCCAGGCCTTCAAAGACAGTGTCTCCACTCCACTCCACTCCAGTGGGTAAGTCCTTGGAATCTAACTTCTATGGGACAATCAGACATTTTGCAAACCTGTAAAGCACAGTGCAGCTTTAAAGAACAGCTGAGACTTATTCCCTCTGCTGCCAAAAACTAAGTGGAAGATTGGGTAGGAACAGGGGTGGTGTATGGACCCCCTCAGTCCCCTGAAGCTGAGGTGAGAAGTGTGTGCATATGCATGTTTGTGGAATGACCTACCAGGCTCTTGAATCAATCTGTACCACTTGAGGTTCCACTTCAAGGACTTCCTCAGTTAGCCCTGGGAGCCTAACTGAGAGCCCCAAGAATGGACATAATCACTTTGGAGTAAGGACTACCCAATAGAGACGGAATGACCAGGATGGCAGGCCCCCAGGTGCTGGGATGCAGAGCAGGGGTGCTGCCCTCCTCTGCTGCCCCCTCCTGGTTGAAATGATCAATGTCCATCCTTTTTAAAGACTAGGAACTGAGCCCCTCATCAATTTGTCCTACAAGTTAAAAATCCAAGGATTCTCAGAATCAACCCCAGCAGACTAGAAGCTCCCAACCTTAACTAGCAATTTGCTTCCACCCTGATATCTGAAGATGGGTGACTCTGCCAGTTCCCTCCTCTATTTTCCTTTTGTTACGACTTTTATACATTCTACTGGACCCAGGGGCCCGCAATGCTACTAAACTTTAAGCTATCTGAATAGTCTACTAAGTAACTAGTAATTCTCTTTTTCTCTAGGATTATATGAAATAAATTTGAATTATTATTAATAATTATTATTTTGTAGTATTTTCTTTTAAACCCCTCAGTCTCTTTTTCTTCTCTCTCATTTTTGGTTAAAAACAAAAACAAAAACTATTTCTCTTAAATCTCACACCTCTCTGAGGGTCCCATAGGCCTGCTAAGCCTAAATTCTGGACTTCCCCTCCTCACTTGCCCCTGGGACAGGGCAGGGGAAGGGGAGCACCCCAGGATCCTCAATCCTCCAGCTCCTTCCTTTCTTGTTAATTCCTTTCTTTGTTTGGCTCTGCCAGCTCCCCCGAGGGGGAGGGGGAGAGGAGAAGGGAGCCCATGGAATGAAATCCAATCCACTTGCAGGGCCCCAGAGGGACCAGGTTCCCCTAGCCACCATCCATTCCAGGATGCTCCTCCTCCCCCAAAGCAAGTGACATTCCTCCCCAAAAAAAAGCGGGGGAAAAAGGAACGTAAACCTGAACATATATTAAAAACACTTTTTTAAGATTTAACTCTGAATACAAATGTATTTTTTTCTTCTCTCCCTACATATATTCTAAACCTTCTAAAGTTTTTTTTATTTTTTTAAGGATCACTTTATCATAAAATAAAATATCCTTTTCATATAATAAATTACCTAATAAAAAGTCTTTTTTTTTTTTCATATTAGCCCAGGTTCTTTGCTACATTTATACGGTAATAAACGCCTTTATTAAAATAGAATATTAAATTATAAAGAACTGCTTTTTTTTTTTTTTTGCTATTTTTGTTTTCTCTCTGTGTTGGTCGCCTATCTCGCTCCCTCTCACGCTCTCTTTCTCACCTCTATTTTGTCTCTCACTATGTGTGTTCTGCGTTTGTTTCTAGGTTTGGCTCAATTAGTAAGGGTGGGATTGAATTTTCCGAGCCCCCTAGTGTAACAGTCTTCTGCCTTTATGGGTAAGGAGTGGAGAGGGGGAGGGGGATCGACAGACAGACATCCCATCTTGGCCCCCGCCTCCCCTGGGCAACCCATTTGGTTTGGTTTCTATTGTACAGACATCTCAGGATGGCTCACATTGGCTAGAAGGAGGGAAGTTGTCACAGACCAGTTTTCCTGGCTGTGACCTCCTTCCTCTCCCCTCCCTGGCTGGTGATCTGGAGGGGAAGGCTGAGGAGAGGCGAGTTAATTCACAACAGGAGGAAGGAGAGGAGGAAATCCCCTCTGTACCTCCATCCCTGCACCCTCTCTCCATCCAGGAATGGGACTCCAGAGCTTAAGTGCTCAGAGATCACTTACAATAGTCCCACCCCACTATATACAAGAATCTCCTGGGACCCCCAGGGACTCCAATCCCCCATCCTCTCCTGGCCCGGCCAGCGGAACCAGGAGGGTGGGAGGCTGGTGGCAGCCCCAAGTGAGCAGTAGGGAAGCAGCAAAGGGGGTGTGAGGCCTGTAACATGATTCAGAACATCCGCACCCCAATCCTGCTTAGCCCTGGACTGACCCTCTCTAGAGACCTGACTTCTCAACCACAGTGGGTAGGACAGTGACATAATGATTTGCTCGCTAATAAGGGTTGGTGTGAGGTCCAGAGAGGGGCACAGGGAGTGGGGGTACCGCAGGGGAAGAGGAGCAGCCTCTGCTGCTCCTTGAAACAGCAGACCCACTACCTGGCTCTGCTCCTACCACTGCCATGAAATCCAGTCCAAGAACTGCTCTCTAAATGTAATGCCCAAAGATGATAAGGGTAGAGGGTTGGCCCTTTAAGTACCCCAGTATTAGTCCCCTCCTCAAATTTTCACTGAGAATGGGGATACATTCCATCGAGAATTTGAGGTGCTTCTTTGGAGGAGTGGGAAAAGAGGGCCTCTAGATGCCAGAAGAGGAATTAGGGGGAACCACCAAAATGTCCTTCCCCCAACTTCTCCCCAGGGGGATGGTATTCCCCAAAGCTGGGCTAGAAGGGGCAGGAGGGAGGGGGAAAAAGGGAAGAAACAGAACGAGCAAGACAGGGTGGGAGTGACAGCCCCCAAGAGGAAGTAAAGAGAGGTACTGGGGAAAGAGCAAAGAAGAAAGGAGAACCCAAGGGGAGGAAAGGCGGGTGGAGAGGAGGGAAGAGCTGAAGGGGGCAGAGGGAGCCTCATCTAGATTCTTCTAGCCCAGCTTTGTGGGGACAGGCAGGTCTGAGGCCCTAATTGATTGACATGCCCCCCACCCCTTACAATCTATGCAGATTTCTGAAAGGGCCCCAAGCCCCTCCCATCGTTGGAAACCCAGGAACAGATTCCCAAAAAGGATATGGCAGTGGAGGGTCCAAAGGGTCATGTCAGGAGGTCGGAGGTCAGGACCAGAGGACTTGGGGATGGGAGAGAGCACCTCTATGTACAGATGGTAATTCTCCCTCTCCCTTCCCCTCCCCTCCATAGCGGAAGGGGTTGTGTGACACACAGGGGGAGGTGGGCAAAGGGGTCAGGATGCCTTAGCTGCCACCTCTGGCAAAACAAAAGTTTCTCTTAGCTGCTTTCAGATTGAAGGGTGTGTTGAGGTATCAGAGTTGTAACTCTAGTAAAATTCCGGTCTGGCCCCCTCCCAACCTTTCAAGGATAGGGTGACCAGAGGGTCTAAAAGTGGCCCACCCTCCAGCCACCATCACCTCCCTTCCCCCCTCCCCAGCCAGTATCTCTAATCACCTTGCCCCTCAAATTACTGATTTCCAAAAGGCTCTGGTGGAAAACAGCTCCAGGGGCAGGCCCCTGGGGAGTGGCCCCAGGAGGTGCGGGGCGGGGGAGGGGGCTTAGGAGAATATTCTGATGGCTTGCGTGGCTGTGATGTGGCAGACAGGACACTCGGGGTCCGTCCTCTCACAGATGCGTACTGCACACTCCATGCAGAACAGGTTGTGTCCGCAGGGCACCAGGGCGGCAGTCACCTCACTCTCAAAGCACACCATGCAATCCCGCCCGCCACCGGGGCTCCGCAGGCCTCCCCCCCCAAGTTTGGAGAAGCCCTGAAGCGGCTCTCCAGGCGGGCGTCTTGGGAGTCCTGCCAGCTCCGAGGAGGGGGCAGGAGAGCGGTGCACTCCTGGGGGACCAGCGCGTGTCTTGGCAGAAGAGGAGGAAGAGGAGGAGGCGGAAGAGAAGAGCACCGAGGAGGGCGTGGCATTCTCCTGGCCCGCCCATAGCGGGGGGCTGGTCTCTGCCACCCCATAGTACACATCCTGCTTGCCCACACCGTAGCCAGGAAAGAGGTACCCGCCGTAGCCAAAGTCCCCGCCCTGCTCACCCAGGCGTGGGGTCTCAAAGCCGGAGTCCACGGCGCACTCGCCGATGCAGCCCAGGCTGTTCTGCCGGAAGGTGGAGAGGGGCTTGCAGGCGGGCGGGTGCACCCGCCAGGCCTCGGAATAGCGGCTGTCCAGCGCGGCGTCGGGGCTCCCCGCCAGGAAGTCATTCTCATTGTTGTACTCGAGGATCTTGCCCGTGCGCACCGCGATGTGCGTCTCGATCTCCTCGCGCGCGCGCTCCACGTTGCCTGGGGCCCCCGTAATCTCGAACACCGGGTCGCGGTCGCGGCTTGGCGTGATAATGTACGTGTTGGTCTGCTGCTGGATGCGCTTGATGGTTGCCCCTTTGGGGCCCACCACCAGCCCCACCACGCGGTAGGGCACCCGCACGCGAATGGTCACCTGGCCAGGCAGGGCAGGCGCCACGCCAAAGGCAGCACCCGACTTGTTGCGTGACGCTCGGATCATGGAGAAGTGTTCGGCTGCTGAAATGATTTCCCTTCGGGCTGTGGCCACGTCCTCCCGCCGCCCAGTCACCATGAACACGGGCTCCTCGCCCCTCACGGGGGTCTTGATGTAGGTGTTGGTCTTGGCCCTCAGAGCCTTAATCTTGCAGCCTGGGATAGTTAGGGAAGGGGAGAGAGAGAGAAACTCACTGGTCAAGAATATTTGCGCTGGGACCAATAAGCTCCAGATCCTTATTCAGATACCCCGTCCCCAGGAACCTTTCAATCTACCCTTTGAACCCTGCCCTCCAAACCACCCTGATTTGAACAATCCACTCACCTGAGATCTACCCAAAGTCTCTATCAATCACATTTTTTAAAAAGTATGTCTTTATTGTTTTTTTAGAGAGAGGAAGAGAGAGAGAGAGACGAAACATCAGTGATGAAAGTCACTGCCTCCTGCACCCCTGCCACTGGGGGCTGAGCCTGCAACTCTGACCTTGCCCGCAATCTCCTGGATCATATAGGTCCATGCTCAACCACTAAGTAACACAAGCAGGGCACAACAACATTTTTCAAAATGTAACAACTTTCCCTCGAATTCCATTCAGGACCCTTCCGATTCATTTACTCCTTGAAACCCTGAAATAACTACTGACCCTCCCAGACAAGCTGCTAACCTTAGATGTACATACTAATTCCTCCACAACCATGTACTGTTCTCTCAACTTCTCTGCTGATTCCTGGCTACTCACAAACTTCCAAATCACTTAATCACACTGCCCCCCACCCCCAAATCTGTCACTGGCTGATCTTCCCATAGAACCCCAATGCACTCAGTAACCCCACAATCCACTCCTCACTTGACTTCCATTAATTATAAGTGTCCTCCAGTATACTCAGGGACCACTGTTCTATGATTCCCTCCCCCCATGCGTCCACCCATTAGTGTCTCTCAGTTTCTCCAATTCATAGCAAGTTTGCAGCAACTAGTGGAGTGTGGGAGACTGGGAAGGGTCTGAGAATCAGTTTCAAGAGAGAAAAAAAGACTATGAAGATAAAAATAATGACATGTGAGGGACAGCACTGGACCCCAAGGACATTCCTGCTACCCTGTCCCCTGGGAGCAGGTGAGCTGAGGTGGGGGGAGGGGATGAGTAGGTGAGGGAGAAGCTATTCTGGACCTATATTCCCACTTTGAAGTAGGAGTGGGTTAAAGCTGGGAGGTTGGGAAGAGAGGCAGGAAGAGAAAGAAGAAATCGGAGACAAAGAGACAAAGAGGGAGAAGTGGAAAGAGAAGAGTGAGGGAGGGTGGGATGGCAACGCCGGCTCTAAAAGGTTGTAGACCTCAATGGCTGGCTGGACAAGCCTCTCTCTCCTCTCCCGCGTTCCCTCTCTCTGCACCGAGCTTCAGAAAGACTCATCCTTTCTCGAAGCACACATGCCACATGTGTGAGTTTGCACACACAGGGACCTGAGAGCCGTGATGCACTAGGTGCCTTTCTGTAAACAATACTCGAAGGGCACTTTCATACACCTTCACACTCACAGGGGCTCCCTGTCTCAGCCTTTCCTCCATCCCTATCATCCCAGGACAAACGGCACATTCCTACGGACGCCTACAACTTTCACCCCACTCACACGTAGACACATTCATGCCCCTCTTCGGGGAAATATTCACCGCTCCCTTTCTCATTCCCACCACACTACCTATCCCCCCAAAACCAACACTAGTAGTTCTAGTTTTCTCTCTGCCCCAACTCTCCATCCACAGGCCTGAGGTGAGCTTATTATTGTTATTCTGTCTCATTCCTCCACTCCATATGGCTTCTCCAGTCCTAGCAGAAAGAGTGGGTTGGGGCAGCTCTCCTTACCTTCAAGAGACCTTAGAAAGGAGAATTTGCCCCTCCCTGTTTGTCTTCAGACCTCTTGGCAATTGAGAAGTCCTACCTGTTGTCAAGCTCACATCCTTGCTGCTTTAATGCCAATAAATGATTGTTCTATTTGCTAGGCCTGGTGTGTGGAGGAACAGTGACATCCCCTCTCTACGTCTACTCATATGGTGTCTGATAGGCACCCGGGTTCTGGCTCTAACTTTTGGGTCCATAAACTTAAGTGAGAGCTAAGTGAGAGCTTTGGGGGTTGGGGGTGGGGTGAGGAGGACAGGCCTGGGCATAAAAGTAGAAAAGCTAGTGGCCTGGAGTTGCAGAACTGGTGGTGGACCTGACCCTAGGTTTTGCAAGCCTCAAGAAGCATCTCTTGAAGGGAAGACCCACTGGGCTTCACCTTCCTAAAGGTCAACTATAGGAGCACTGACACTGCAGCAGGAGAAGGGAGGTAAGACAAGAAGGAGGACTTCCATATACTTAAGGAATGAGGGAGAAGAGAGAAATCCCCCCTACTTTTATGAGAGACAGCTCCATCTGATGCGGAGGCAGAAGAGGAAAGAATGACTCCATAAAATTCCGGGGCCTCCCAAGACCACCCCCACACACAAGAAAAGATACTAATGTCCCCACCCAATTCCAGGGCTCTGGGTCCCTTGTTTCTGACAAGAGGAAATCCAACTTTTTAAACCAGAAATCTCAAGTGATGGAGTGGGATGGGTGGAAATGAGGGTTGTGCAGGCCAGTGGCATCTTCCCCTCCTCCATTCTGGATCTCCCAGCAAAATCCCCCCAACCCCCAGCGTTACAGGGGGATGAGGTGGGATGAGGAGGAGGCCCCCTGGCTTCGCCTCCCCTCTCCCCCCGCCAGCAGCCGGCCTCCTCCCTCACTCCCCAGCCGGAATGCAGCTCCTCTATTGTTCCGTACTGTGGGACAGCTCCTCCCCTGCTCCTTCCCCACCCCCACCTCCCCAGCCCAGCCTTACAATTTCCAAATCCCCCCCCAAACACACACTCCCCTTTGGGAAACCAGGAGAGGGAAGGGTCCCCAAGATCCCGTCTGCTCAATCTGGACAGTCACCAACACTCCGACCCCCACCCGTCCAGGGATGCTGGAGTGGAGGAGGGTGTGGTATCAGACAGACTACACTGTATTAATTCTACATCCCTCCCCCAACACACCCAGACACACTCCCTGCACCGAATCTCCAGGTGAAGCTTTCTCACCACCCCAACCCCCAGCATGTCCCCTCCTACCCTATCCTACTCTTTCACTACCAGAGACCCCTATCCAGGCCTCTGGCCCCTGGCCTTGGCCAGCCCAGAACAAAAGCCTGAGAGGGAGGAAGAGAGGTCCACACCAGGATGTGGCACTTCCTTGGAGGCGCCCCTTCCAAAACCCCACAGACTGTTCAACTTTGGTGTGTGGGTGACCACAGGCCTCCCTCCTCCCAGGAGCCCCCCTCCCCATCTCTCCCCCAGGCTGGGACCCTCCCATGAGCCACACCCCCTTCCATTCCAACACTCAGCCCAACAAAGAGACAGATACTCAGACTGGCTCCCCAGGCCAGGTCTCCCCCAAAGTCTGTAACTCCAGGCGGCTGGGGGTCCCAGGAGTACCCCCTCCCCAATCCACTAACAGATACCAGAGTAGAGGTTTCTGAGTAACTCTTTGCACATTCTGCCAGTTTTTCTGGCTTTGAGTGGACACCCCCTCAGGACAGACAGCCTCTCTAGATTGGGAAACCAATCCCCCTCCCTTTTCCCTCTCTCGAAGAGAGGATATTTCTTTGTCTAAGGGCAGGGCCCAGGGGGAGGAAGGATCTGGAGAACAGTCCCGACTGGGGTAGCAGGGAACTTTGTGGCACTTGGAAATCAGGGTAGGGGGAGGGTCCCTCTTTGTGGGGAAGGGACAGAGCCAAAGGTGGACGAGAGAGGAAATGAACTTTCCGCGCTAGGGATGGGGTGCCCCCCATCCAGTCTCTCTCCGCGATCCGGGCGCCCGCTTACCTTGCCTGCCCACGATCTCGGCCACGTGCTCCGAGGTGGGCACGGGTACACACTCGGTGGTGTTGCTGCTGCCCTTCAGGCGCAGCTCGGCCTCTTTGTAGAGAGCGCAGAGCTTGGCGTCGCTGGCCCCTTTGGGGGCGGTGGGGGGCTGAGGC